TAAACCACAAGTGGTATACTATAAGAACTTTATTTTCATGTGAGAGAAAAATAAATAAATGATTGATTGATGATTGATTGATTGTATTCTACCACATAAATGATAGTACTTTTATACTGATAATTAAAGAAATTCGTGCAAAATTATTCCCTAACCATTCCAAAATATCAAAAATGCACAATGTTAATATTCAAGTTTTCACTTCTGCCGGCACTCCCGGAGTGCAACCCTTCGTTTTTTTTTCATCGTCTATCCAATCCGTGTGGGCTATCGTTGAATAGGTCTTTCAAATGATTTAGAGGTTGCATAGACTATTTTCGATTTAGGGATCCTTTAAAGTGCTAATTTTTGTTTGAGTAGGGCGTTGCCGCCCTCATCCCTCTAAAAGCGAAACTATTAGCTTGAAAAACTGGAAAAAATAATGATAGTCAGGGCCGGATTTAGAGGTCCAGAGGCCCCCTCACCCCAAATTATTTTCCAAATAAAGTAAACAATTTTTTTTGAAATTAAATCTTAGAGTTAACGAACGGAACCTTTCGAGCTTTTTTCGCCGAAAAATCGTTGATGATTTCGTTGAAATCGAGTTCTCGGAGTAAATCGCTTTCAATGCTCAGGAGAGAAAGCTTCGATAGACGGTTTTGTTCCATCGTGGTTCGAAGCATATTTTTTATAATTTTCATTTTTGAAAATGAGCACTCTCCAGTGCAGTTTGTTGCCATCAAAACCACATATATTCTCAATGCAATTTCGAGGTTTGGGAATGTAGCTCTGAAATTTTGATTTTCGAGAATTTTTCATATTTCACTGATTACCTGATTGGAGTGAACAAATATAGATCAATGATTTCTGTTATTTAAGATTAATATAATCAAACAATCATGTAAAGGTAAAGGTAAAAGAGCAAAAAAATATATCAAAGGAAAAGATGTTTACTAGTGTTTACTAGTAGAAATTTGAAAGATTTTTTTTTCCGAAGTCTCTAAAGTGGGGGCCACCCGTTTGTGAAGGCCCCGGGGCTTTCGCCCCGGTTCCCCTAAATCCAGCAGTGATGCTTTTTATAAACTTTCACGGATAATTATAACGGTCAATATCTATCAGTTAATTTAAGAGTAATAGTCGTTGAACTTATGTATTAAAAAAAATCTTACGTAATGAAAATTCCGTAAAAGATCATATTAAAAGATGCTTAGATGAAGTACGTATTTGCTTGTTTATAGCTTGTAAAATTTTGCATTTAAAAACAAAATCGAAAAAAAGCTATTTAAAAAACACAATTAAATATTTACGGAACCCTATACTATGCGTGGAATGACACATACTTGGCCGGCTTTTAAAAATATTTATTCGTTTGTACAGAAATTATTTTTGATAAAAACTGAAGTGTTTGTTTTTAAACAGGGCGTGACACCACACGTAGGAACCGCTTACGTCAACGTAGCTGTCAAACTTCATTGATTGGGTTGGTAGCATTGAAGGAATAGTTGCTTTTCTTCATTCGACTCAAAAAATCGACTTGACACTTATAAAAAAAAGGAAAAGAAGGCATTGGATTTCTGTTGGTGCGTGTGGATGAGTGGATAGAGTTTGACAATTGTTGAATTTTGAAAGTTTTTTTCCCATATCTCAATCGGGCGTTATTTTTTACTCGATTTTAAATTTTTCTCGAAATTGAATTTCCTCGCTGATTTAGGTAGGTATTCTCTTTTCCTCCGCTTACGGCGAGCATAGTTATATTGGTTTGAGTTTATTCGTTTTCTCGTCTCGAATGCCGCGGCTGTCTGTTTGACTGTGACCTTTGCCTTCAGTTGGAGAGAAAAAAAAATCATAGACACATATTTGGGAGTTGGTGGTCTTTTCTCTATGCCGAGTTACCAAAACAACATTTAAAATTTTCGAAAATAATCGAGGCACTGTTTCGTGTTCTGCCCAAAGTATATTAAAAGAAGGACACTCCGGGCTCCGGAGACGGTGAAGTAGATCCGAAAAGTTTATATCCTGGAGTATATTGGCGGAAATAGCGCGGAGACGCTAACCGAACTGTAATTCGGGGTGATAAAGCCTCGCAAGGTAGATGGTCCCGGAATCTTGTAAGGCAGGGCAGTATCTTGTGATAGGTGGAACAAAGTAACGGATAGTTTTACATCTCGAACGGCTTATACGTTCTCCTCAAGAAGTACTGGAGGAAGAACAAGCTAATAACAAGGAGATTCTCTCTCTGTACACGGACCAGAGGGGACGCGTGAGATTATTACAATAAAGGTTGCAAACCACCCTCCAGTCTCATGTAACCCGGCCGTAACTGCGGACAGATCATACACTGCTAAACCTACCCTAAACAAGGTATTTCTCTAACTAACCCTGGGTGAGCGTGGCGCAGGTACCACAAGGCGAGGTTGGACCCCGACCTACCCATTTCTATATATATCTATATAACTTGTTGTCTCACTGAGAACTAGAATTTACCTAGTATACAGCATCACCAATATCGATCAAACGAACCGTAGAACCTCTGAAATCCACAAAATAGTTTATTATCTGGAAAAGTCTAGTTTTGTGGTCTCTCAATTGACAGTCCATTGCAGAGTAGGTAAAATATATTAGATATAGTTTAAGAACTCATGTAAGTACATGGTAGATTGTTATGAATGTCTGATATTTATATAATTCTAAAATTCATGTCAACTTAAGGTTTTGCTCACTGAGAGGGAAGTGATTTATATAAACTCTAACTTTAAAACTACTGTATTCAGCTTAGTTATGATATTTATAGTTAGTAAAATATAGTTATAACATTTCATGCTAACTTGGTGATTTATGTAAACTCTAACTTTAAAACTACTGTATTCAGCTTCGTTATGATAGATATAGTTAGTAAAATATAGTTATAACATTTCATGTCAACTTGGTGATTTATATAAACTATAACTTAAAACTACTGTATTCATCTTCTTTAGGATCTATAGTTAGTAAAGTATAATTATAACATTATCTTTGTGCGGTCCAATTACCGCACATGTTTCCGTGTCAGCGAAATAGTTTACTTATTTAATATTATTTGATTGTATAGTCAGTCGTGTGTGTATCAAGTAATTGTAAGCTCGTATACCTATCAAGAAAATAAACATTCTATAATCGTCAAGGAGTTTTTATTATCAAGTTATCAAGATCTATCAAATAGGTCGTTCGGCAGCATCACGGCACCGTCCGACATTGTGGTCCTTCGAGAAGTGGTTTAGTGATCCTTTTGTTATTTTCGAGTGTTAGCGAATCGGTACAGTCGGTCTCCCACAAGCGGGTCTCACCGGCTGGATTGAGAAGGCGCATATAGCACTCGCGAATACATTGGACACTGAACTATCAAGAACCAGCAAGTTTCAAGTGACAAGAGCAAGTTTTATCGTGGAAGTTTTGTTATGAAATACAAATCCACACCAACAAGTTTGTGCGCACCAAAATATTAATATCAAGTAAGGTACCTTATCTATCAAGTAATTATTTACGAGATTGCAAACAAATATTTTTCTCACATAATCAAGCTCACGACTCACGACTCACTCAAGACTCAAAATGGACGTAAATGACTTATTATACCAGCAAGCTTTATTAGCAGAAGAAATCAAGAAAACAATTATCAATTTCAAAAAGGATGGTCCATCGGGTAGAACCCCAGAGCATATCAAGAGACGACTCGAATCTCTGGAGAAATATTGGAATGAATACAGGATAAATCATGAGAAGCTTTCAGAATGCCTGCCGGTTAGTGAAGAATATTTTGTCGGCGATTACTACCAACAAACAAGACAATGCTATTTGGATGCTAAACTTTACATTGAGAAGTCAAGTATCAGTGCTACACTTCAAAAGCCTCCTTTAATGCAACCCAACCCATCATGTGTTAACAAGAACCTTGATCAAGAGAACCCAAGTCAGCCAAGTGTAAGTAACGAAGTGTCTAGATCCAAGGAACAAGTTGAAGAGGAAAAACTAAATTTCAGAGGAAATGCTCAAGAGCAAACGGAGCCAACAATAAGACAAGACTGGAACACAATGATGAATACGTCAAACTCGGGCAACTACAGCAAGCTCGATGAGATGTTCAAAAGGCAGTTAAGCAATTTCAAGGCGTTTTCAAGAACGGTGTCTAATATCAACATAGGCACCATGCAAGAGCGTTGGGAATTCGAAGATACATTAAAAGCACTTCAAGCGCGCTGGAAAGCAATAGACTTACTTCACTGGGAGATAGATAGCGAAACTAACGGATCAAACCTACAGTACGAAGCAAGATTCACAGAACACGAACAAAAATATTATGACATCAAGAAGGCCATAAACAGCAAGCTATGGTCCGTCTCACATAGGGAAAAGTCGACACCACAACTAGACATTCCGATCTTTAATGGCAACTACCAACAATGGGTCTCATTTAAAGATCTTTTCAGCGAGGCTATACACAATAATCCCAGCTTGTCAAACGCTCAAAGAATGTAGTTCCTTAAGAGCAAGCTTAAAGGTGAAGCTGAGCGTTTGGTACAGCACTTACAAATTAGCTCTGAAAATTATACAGCCTGCTGGGAAATATTAAACCATCGCTACAACAATAAAAAGTTAATTTTTACGACCCACATGAACACCATGATGAGCCTTCCCATCACACAACAAGCAAATGCGAATCACATAAAACGCCTTCATGACACCACCACGGAATGTCTAAACGCCATCAAAAACTTAGGTGTCAATATAGACACTTGGGATCCGATTTTAGTCTATATCATAGTTCAGAAAATAGATGCTGAAACTCACAGTGACTATCTAGAATCATTTCCTTGGTTTTCTTTCATTGCTTCCCCTGTGCTCTGAGGAAGATTGTAGAGGGCAGTGGAGGAGAAAATAATATCACAAAACATATATTCTATTAACCCATAAATCATAAAATGCCATGAATAATCATGTTTCTATTAACATGATAATGTCAAAATATTAAATAAAATCACGCACATTTTGTTCCTTATGATGTTTTATTACAAAAATATGTTATTTACAAAGTGGCAGTATACTAGGCAGTTTCAAAGTAAAAAGTAATACTTAAGACTAAATGGTAATACTTTATAGTCGTACGTCTTAAATATGCTATCAAAAATTAATACTAGATGAAGGCATTTAAGTAAGTCATAACATAATTTTCTATCATGAACTAGATTCAACAGGGTAGTAGAGCCATTTGAATTCATAACCTTTTAGACCATATTTCTCGTCTTTCTCGGTTTCTGCTTTTGGAACATCTTCTGACAGCAAATCGAGTACTTCTTGTGTAATTTTAGGGCGGAATCCATTTTCATCAGCAACGTAGTCTACTCTCGTTCTTACTCCATTTCTGGCAGTCACGTAATAGTAACCTTGCTTAGCTCCATTTGTGTATCCTTCTTCAAAATGTCCATGGAACCCTACTGTGTAATTAAACGTATACAATAGTTGCTGCATATCGTTTTTGGTCAGGCCATTTGGTAAGCCATCCTTTTCTCCTGGATTTTTCTTATAAATATCAGTATTTTTATCTACAATTTGCATTTGTGCTGATATTAAAATAGGTTTATTTGGTCCCTGTCCTCCTTGTGGCCCTCCGGACCCGAATGGTCCAGTTCCATTATCTGTTCCTTGTGGTCCAAATCCACCACTACCAATTCCACCAGTGCCGAACTGTCCAATACTACCTTGTGTACCTTCAGGTCCATATTGTCCAATACTACCCTGGTTTCCTTGAACACTTAACACTTGACCTCCGGCTGTTCCTTGTGGGTAGTCGGTAAATTGTTTAGGGTTTCTATCCCCACTAGAACTTCCAAATGGTGCTTGTAATGTTTGATCTGGTGCATGTGCTACTCCTGGACCAGCTTGTTGTGTATATTGTGGGGAACCATCATTGCCTTGAGGATAATTTTGATTATTATCTGAATCCTGCGGGAAAGATGATCTAGATGGAAAGTCTTGTGGGTATGTTGCTCCGACAGCATTTTGTGGATAATTTGGCTCATTTCCTGAACTTATTTGAGGATAATTTAGTTCAGGCCCTCCTAACGAAAAGTTTGGATTTAGATAGTTTTGAGGATCATTTTCTGAAAGATTATCCGGTTGAGAGCCCAGAGGGTATTGCTGATTTACTGCCTCTTGGAATCCGGGGTTATTTGGTTGGTTATTTGAAACTATGGCTATATCTGTCAGAACTGGCTTTCTAGTAGTTGTCGTTGGTATACTGCAAGAAGAGCAAGATTTTGCTGGTGATGCTTGCGATGGCCCAGCAATGGCTTGTGGTTCCAGCGATATTGGTCCTTGTGTTTGTGGTGGATTTCGAGATTGTGGGAAAGGAAGTGAATGTCCTGTTCTTTCAGGTCCCGTAGGATCTAAAACATACAAGATGGACTTTTAGAAGGTACTTAAATATATTCTTTACCACAAATGCTTAGACGCTTACAATGAATACATTTTTTTTTATTATTTTTTCTTGAGGTTATATTTAAACTCACAGCTAGTAACAAAGTATAGTTGGAGTATTATTTACAATAAAGGAGGAAATGAGGAGCTCGATGGCGCAAGTGGTTAGCGCGTTTGGCTGCGATCGTTAAAGTTTTTCGCTGTGGTCGGTCATTGGATGGTTGACCAAAAATTTACTATCTCGAGCTCCTCCGTGCTTCGGAAGGCACGTTAAGCCGTTGGTCCTGGCTGCATCTGCAGTCGTTAGCACCCACCAATCCGCACTGGGCCCGCGTGGTGGGTCATGGCCCAATCTCCCTATTTCATCCATAGGGGAGGCCTGTGCCCCAGCAGTGGGGACATTAATAGGCTGATGATGATGATTACAATAAAATTATTTTAGTTTTTATCTTGATTTTTACAAGGGTTTCAAGAATAATCTTTCCTTTGGGCAAATGAAGACCGTGTTGGTAAAATATGAAGGTTTTTAAACTCACAAGGCTTCACTCTTATATTTTTCATTGATAATATCTTAAAGTTTCCATTTTCATCGGTGGCGTAAACTGTGACGTGATATACACCATCCGCTGTAATGAATCCAAACTCTCCCATGATAAGTCCGTTTTCATCTGCAAAATCAAAATAAGGATGTGAATAAAATTAGTGTTTCCTTTTTAAAAAAATAACCCTTCCTAATGAAAATCCCACTTTTATGTAGTTAATTGGAACTCTACCAACCGTGCAAATAATATATATTGGCAGATTATCTGTACTTTAGTGTCTAGATATTTTTATGTTTTTTCCTTTACTGGGTACAATTTATTTATTTTTTGGAACGAACTTCTTTATCGGACAGTACGAAAAACTGAGTAAGCTTTTTCCGTCACGGTGGAATTGCTAGATTGGGGTATTAATACTCTATTTTGTGTAGAAAGTTTTGGTATTGGCGAGATGTCGTTTTTTAATTCCCTTCACCTATGGTAGTTTTCAATTTTAGTTTTCTCCCACATTTCTTCTTGCGGACGCCTGCGACTTCATCCGCGACTCCGTCCGCGTAAAATAGATTTTTTTGAAAACCCTAAAGGAAGCTAACACTTTTTCCGGGGTAAAAAGTATCCTATGTCTCTTTACAAATTATAAGCTCTCTGTGTGTAAAATTTCATCCAAATTCGTTCAGCTGTTTTAGTTGATTGAGTGACAAACAATAACAAACTTAATAACTATTCCATTTATAATTTTAGCGCGACTAACGGCTGCCCACGACTTTGTCCGCATTAACCTGGGTTTTTTGAAAATTCGTCAGAACCTTAAACTTTTTTCTGGGATAAAAGTATTCTATGTCTTAATCCAGGTCATAAACTTCCTATATGCGTACTTTACACCTCAATGTGTTAGGTAGTTTTTATGTGTTTGAATAATAAATATTACAAACTTTCACTTTATAACATTAGTAGGATTAGGAAGGATTACGTCATTCAATATGTAGTTTTGACATATTTTGAAAAAGCTCAGCTTTAGATTGTATTTTCTGTTCCCATAGTATTTGTAAATGATAAGAAAAGTCTTAAGGCCAAATTTTTTTTCAGAAACTTGCAAGCTAGATAGATACCCTTACATTATGTCAGGAGATATTATTAAAAAAAGATAAATTTAACATACCAAAAGTATTTAAGCACTCGGGGCTTAAATACTTCAAATAGAACTGAACAGAAGAATACAAAGTCCCGTAGTCTATAATTCGGTTAAGTAAGGAATAAAGCTACTTTAACAGTCGGGACCATTAGATATTCAAGATTGGATAAAAAAATCAAAAATGGGTCCCGATTTTTAAAGTAGCTTTGTTTCTAACTTAACAAAGTTATAGACTACTGGATTTGATTTTCTTTTCAGTTTTTATTTGAGTTACGTAGTAGTAGTAGAGTACTTAAGCAGTCGGGTTTTTTGATATTTTAAATTTACCTTTTTTATTTCACACTTTTTAGTTTGGGTTAAAATACAGTTTATAGTCTCGTCACATCGATAAGGGAGTTAATATCACAAAATTTGTTAACTACCTTGCGGTGGTCTAAACGATTGATCTAGAGACCTTACTACCAGGGTCAAGGCTACAGATGGGCATAAACTTTCGCAAAAATGTGTGAAGTTAAATCAAGTCGTTACCTATGTATCTAATGTATGTAAATTTTATAGTTAACTAGTACTTATTCAAAAAGTCATCTTTTGCTTATGTTATTTTTAGGAGTTTAGGAGATAATTCATTTACTTTATATAAAATTCGTCGACTATCTAAAATTGGCAGTGGCTGCATTGTCAACGTCGTCCGGCTTTAAATTTGTAATTTACACAAATGCAGTGTCATATACTAGTTTCATATTTTTTTTTCTACATAATTCACAGAAACCAACCACAGATGCCAGAGGTTAACTTCAAATGTTGTTAATCACCAAACTAAAAATAAAATGATGTCTTCTTTCAGTAAAATATCCTATCTTCAATATTTAATATACTTTCCCTCTGTGTGAGAAACCCGTGAGACGCCCTGTATATAAATTTTAATGATCTTAAACTTCAGACTAAAACTTTATTAACTCCAAAATTATACTCACATTCACAAAGCCGTATTTTTTGATACATAGTTTAATTTTTCTATTAGTCAATGTCATGGCAAATACACAGTAATGTGTCAAATATTAACAAATAAAAGAATTTCTGTTTCTGATATATCCAAATTTAACTAAAGATGAAAAAATGCGGATAAAACGAGGATAAATGCATGTATAGTACAATACGAGATAGATTCACATGATTATATATACATTAAATGCCAAGGTTTATATGGTCAATTTTACTTAATTAACCAGAAAATAAAACAGTCATCGTAGTAATGATCTTATGATCATTACTACGATGACTGATAAATAAAAAAAGTTTGGTCGATTCCGTGCTCTGACCATGGATGAATTACTTATTGATTAAAACAAGGTAAAGATCACTGTGTGTTTAATAAATAATATATTGAAAAATCTTATGTTATTAAAAACATTGCTTTTAGGAAGTGAGTTACTGGTCACTTCTTGACGTGACGCAATCTATATTTATTTAATAGCTACTATATTTATATAATAGCTTCTAATACAAAAAATACATGCTAAACTAAGCATCTGCAGATATTACCGAATGACATGTAAATTATCAATAGTATAATGATGTCATAGACCTTCACATGTTACGATTAATTTAATTGATGTAACCATTACCTAAATATTTAATTATTCATTTACATAAAATTTGCAATATTATAAGAAGTTTGATGTTTCTGCTAAAACTTGAAATTGCTGATATACAAAATATATAAGCATCAAGTTATGTAATTAAAAAAATAAGTTTTTTTTATGTTTTATATAAACAAAACGTCACATACCGGATGTATTAAGAGTCCATTCAACTGTTTATATGCCTATTCATAAACTGATCACTTAAGGCTATGGTCACGATACAAAAAGACTGGCTTCGTGCTAAATGCTTAGCTAGTAGATGACCTCTTAATAAAATTGTAAATAAAATATATTAATCTAATATTAGTATATTAAACATTCTAATCTAAGGAAGACTGGAATTGTGACTGTGATTGTTACGGTCACAGCAAAGTTATACACCTATACCCATATTTTGTGTTTTTGTATTTGTTTTATAAATTTGATAATTATTTCATTAATAAAGTTGGATATTTTTCACCAATGGTTTATACGGCTTGTATTATAATAAACCAAAGAAATTATTTGTCTACACTAAAACTAGTAAATTACAAATGGTTATAATTACGTAGTGTTTTTTTGCCTTTTCCTAATTCGATGTTAATAGATAAACACTAAATTCATAACAAAAGCTTATACTTGATTGAGTTACTAATATTAGCGAACGTACATTGCATTCCAACATAGGTGGCAGCACTACAAGCTACGTAGATGATAAGCATAATTTCTAGCTTGCCTCTAACTTTGGCACTGATGTTGCCTTAGCCTTAATGAAATTATAAAATCAGTTATATCAATTTGACACCATCAACTTTATAAATGTATATATGAAAGAATATAGCGATAAAAATATCTTATCATTCTTTTTAATGACATAAAATAAAGTTTTGTATAAGGAAATAAATAGTATTGGCGTATTTTATTTCCTCGTACTTCGTGAGAAAAAAGATAAGAAACGTATTAAAATAAGTAGCATTATTTTTTTGTGTGCTATAGCATAGATATTTTTAATGAAACAAAAGAAGGTTAAAAGTCCACTATTAATCAGGATTTCAAACAATTAATTATTTTTTTGAACTAATACAAGGTTTCCTTTGAGCCGTACTTTGTTGTTACAGGTTAAGTATTCGTAATAGTCTCTGTTTAAATTGTCAAAATCAATAACTATTATAACCTACCGAATTTTCGTATTCACTTGTTGACGTGACAACGTCTTAAATTAGGTTGCGGCTGGGAGTCACTTATGAAAAAGTGTAACGCTCGGTAACGTTACGATGAGTCTCTCGTGTTAAGTTTAAGTTTACATGTACAATGTTTTAGTAAACAAAATATATTTCTATAGTTAAAATTTGTGCAATTCTTATTTTCATTCAATTCCTTGTTCCTATTGTGCAATTTAATTATATTCATATCAATAAATATTCTACCGAGAAAAAGACGTTGTCACGTAAAATCTTCGCCCGTAAAACCGACTTTACAGGCAACCATTTTTTTTTTTAACGTTTCAGTATTTTACCGATATATTATTTCCTTAAAAGGTTCAGATGATGATGATGCATAAACAAATGTATAACTTACTATAAATCGTAAGCGCGATTAAGGTGGGGTAATTTTTTTGCTCATCTATTTATACCATTAACTTTGCAGTAATTTATATAGGTAACTTATATTTCGTGGGACAACTTAGGTAAAGTACGTCCTCAATACCTTTCTTTTCGTGTCTATGCTGTTCACCGTCGATTTTGAATCCAAATTCGTATGGTCTGTTTTCGTCTGTGTATTTGTCAGCACCTTGAACGTGTAGAATGTATGTAACTGCCAGTAGTGTGAAAAATCCTCTTCGTTGAAGCATCTGAAAATTTAAGTACATTCGATATTTTAAAATCATTTAATTCTTAATTTAAACAAAATTTTAATCGAAAATATCTATCCAGAGGTAATTGCTGTTATTAATAAACCTTTGAACGATGATTCTACTACGCTATCGAATTGTGTAAAATTTCACACATCCTAACTATATAGTCATGAGATGATTGATCATAGCCCAAAATAACTTTGTACTTTATGTAGATCCACTGTCATATCAAACTGGTTTAAAAAACTTGATAAAAAAAGTCAACATATTCCGTCAATTGGAAATTTTCGTGCTGTTATTCGCTGCTTTTATTAGAATAAATATAGGTACATATTTATGAGCTATACAAGTGTTATAAGTACAATTTGCAAGAAAATAAAATAAATATCGTGACATGGAAAAGGTTCTAAGCGTTGCGTCGGCTCTTTTTCATACGAACATCTTAATTTAGTTGACATAATTTTGGCATTAAAAAATATGTCTACATGAAGTGCCACAAGCCAATCGTTTAGTGCTGAGTAAACCGAAATACGTGTTCTTATTTCATGATATTTGTATTATCGGCGAACTTATTATAAGAAAATATAAGTATGATATAAGTTGTCTTCAAAATCTTCGAGTTTAAGTAAACAGTGACTAAATTGTTTGCTCGAAAAAAAAAACAAAATCCGCGTTAGCTACTTATTCATTATTTATATGCTAATTGAGTTTGTTATTTCATTGAATAAGTACTCGTAATAGCTAGTATTTTCATGAAAAAAAAATAAACCAAATTCACTGAACATTACGTTTAACACTGATTGAAACTGACCATCGAGATCAAAATATATTGTACTGTATAAAACAAGTTTCAACGGGTTAGATGCATTGATTTTATTTATTTATTGACGTTTCGCAGCCTTTGCAGGAATGCGTCGTCAGAATAATGAATGTTTTATTTAATGAGTGATGTGAGTGAAAACCTAAGAAACAAATAGTTTGTACTGATTCTGGAACGCATTCAAAACTCAAATAAAGCATATTAATAGTAGTTAAACTCAGAACTCAAAATATTTCATGCAGACGTTTATCCCAATACAACCTTTTGAACCAACCTTTTGGTGGTATTGTTTCTGTCTTACTGTGAGCACGGTTCCAGAGCTCACGGGGTAGGGAATTGGGTCAGGGTAGGCTCGCCTGATATTTTTGATAACGCAAGCGTCTATGGGCTATGGTAGTCGCTTACCATCAGGCGGGCCATAAGCTTTTTCGCTATCCTTTTCTCATAAAAAATGCTCCCATTGCTGGGGCACAGGCCTCCATAAAGAAGGAAGAGTGAGAGACCCACCTCGCGGGCCTGGTGTGGATTGGTGCACGTCAGCAACCACTTAACGTGCCTTTTGAAGTACGGTGGTCTTTGGTCACTTATCCTATGATCGACCATTGTGAAATTAGTGTAACTTTCACGATTATAGTCCAAACTCGCTGACTACTGAGCCATCGAGCTACTTTCCATCAAATTCTTCTCAATTGATTTGATATGAATAATTATGGTATTCTTTGTTATTTTCGTTAAAAATAAAGTTTAAGAATTAGGAACATTTGGTTCGAAAGAAAATAAGAGTACTACATCGTTCTTTCCGTACTGACAGTCATCGGAAAATACTGTGATGTCGAAACTCTTGTAAGCGATTTTAATATTTCCGAACGAAATTTATGCGACAAAATATATACGTAGATAGCAATCATAGAGAGGATTGTGTTATCAATGGGAAATATCAAGGAATCTAAATCAGGTTTCGATAGCGAAAAATTAGTATTATATCACGTTATTAATTCTAACGGCCGCTGTAATGGCAACCGGATTCTCGTCTGGGTATGATTTATTTAAGTATCCTTTAAGTCGAGATTCGACAGGTGTCTATTTTCTTTTCTCCCGAAATCTGCGTCGAAATGGTGACAATTTTATTTCTAAGTCAGTTTGTCTCACCGGCCGTCCGTTTGTCTGTTGCGAGGCTGTATCTCATATGACGCTTGATAGGTAAACATACAGTTGAAAGTTATACGGCATGTAGATTTTGAAGATTTTTGCTCGACCTAACGACAAATTTTATTTAAATAGGTATATTTTTGCTGTTTGTAGTGTATTCGAAATTGAGTAGTAATGTTTTCATACCCAGTTAATGTAATTCATACTATAATATAAAGTTTTGATTCTTGTGAGCTTGTATTTTTTTATTAGTTTGATGGTCTTAGCTGAAATAACTTTTATTTTATAATATTCAGTATGCGATAGAGTTTAATAGCACTCACTCATGTTAAAAATGTTAAAGATTGTATAACTATAATTAACTCGGCAAAGACGTTTAAAAAGATTTGGAGGGAATTTAGTACACAGATAGTAAATGACAAATATAAACATTTTATAGAGACTTTTATCTCAGGGAGAAGAGTCCTGGGGATTAAATTACTAAGTTCAAGTTAATCAAGCTGCAGGTAGTAGTACCTTGTGGTCCTCCGAAGAAAAAGAGAAGTAAGGATAAGCGAGAATAACTTCTCAGAACTCCCGTTGGGGTATGCTCGACAGCATGGGCATAATGATGCCATATCGCAGTGTTATTGTAGAGACTTGAGGTTGTTTGTTATCTCTACATCGTCAATGATATGGGCAGCGCACCGCTGCAACCTATCCAAGACATCGAGTAAGTACTTGGCTCAGCCATCCTAAATGTGCGAGCGAGCAATATTTCACGCAGGATCGCACATATGTCTAGTACAAAAAGAACAGTTCAGGCGTGAAAAAACGCCGCACCTTGTTCAAGATTCCAAGTATTCGTAAAGCTGTTTTGATCACGGTTGCGATGTAATTTAGGTTTACTGAGCATGGTGATGTTGCTATGTAGCGCCAGTGTTGTTCCCTGAAGAGAGGGAAGGGGAAAGCATAACGCTTTCGCCGTGAAAGTGCAAACCTGGGTTTTTATGACAGTGTACTCAATCAAGTTTCTGGTACCCCATTCGGAAATCTGATTCAAAGCATGATTGAGTTCAATGACAAGTTCTCAAGTTTCTCCTTGGTTTCTGCTTGTTCAGCCGCTACGTGTCTGAAATGTCCCGTATGCACTGTACTATTATTTGCGTAGCAATGTATTCCCAAGAGGAAATAAATTATTGAATCAATAACGTGAATAGGAAAAAACAAAAATGGATAAGCGCTGGTCTTAAAATTAGTAGTAAAACAAAAAGACACCTGCGCTTCGGATATTAAAAAAGCAAAACATTAGAAAACAAAAACAAATACTTATCATATACTAATATTTTAAATAAATGAATACATTATTCGCGAAAAAATACTACTATGAAATTCATAAATCAGAGCAAAAATAAATGTAAGGCTACATGGTCAGTAATCCAAAATGAAATAAATAATACTAGAATTGATGATAATATTACTAATCTGAAAATTTATAATAAAACATTGACATATCCAAATGACATAGCTACTGCTTTTAATGACTACTTCATAAATTTGACTGAATCGCCATCAATAAACTTAACTAAAGATAACCAAAAATTGCCATCACTAGCCAATTCAATGTATTTACATCCAATGACCATTAAAGAAGTAAAAAAGGAAATCATGTCTTTAAATAATACCAACGCTGAAGAATATGATAATATTTGTACAAAGATATTAAAGATGTGCACTACAGAACTAACACAGGTCTTTACATTCCCGGTTAATACATCGTTTATATCTGGAACGTTTCCTGATAAACTAAAATTCTCTTTAGTCGAACAGTTACATAAGAAAGGGGACAGAGAGAATTCGGATAACTATCGTCCTATTACGTTAATACCGATCCTTTCAAAAGTCTTCGAAAAATGCATGCTAAACCGGCTCATGAGTTTTTGGTTGAAATACAATATTATAACAAAAGAGCAATATTGTTTTCAAAAAGCAAAATCTACATCGCTGGCAATGTTTGACCTTATGTCAACAATATTGACAAATCTTAATAAAAGCTATTTAACAACGGGGTTATTTTTTGACTTGTCAAAGGCCTTCGATTGTGTTGCTCACCCGAGACTATTAAACAAAAACTAGAATCCTACGGTATCCGGTTAGCATCCTATCTAAGCGGTAGGCGCCTAAAAGTTATTTTTAGCAAAGTAACACAAAATGAAATGAAATCGTTCTCATCTAGTTTTAGGGAAATTCGGTGTGGCGTTCCACAGGGGAGCGTTCTAGGACCAATTTTATTTTTATTATATATCAATAACATAACACAGGTGACTCAACATAAATGTGTTTTATATGCCGATGACATATCAATAATTGTAACATCAAATAACATTAAAAACAATGACTCGTTACGAACACATTCATCTGACATTAATAATACTATTGACATGATCATTAAATGGCTTAATGTAAATAATCTTAAAATTAATATATCCTATTATATCCAATTTAATAAATCTAAACATAAAAAATATAATTACACATTAGACGTAGCAAAAATCAAAGAAGTAGAAAGTTTAAAATTCCTAGGTGTAAACATTGATAAAGATACAAACTGGAAAACCCATATAGATATGTTAAGTCATAAAATAAATAAATTTGTGTATGCTCTGAAAAGCATAAAAAACTTAACCAATAAAAAAACCGCTGTTATGTGTTATCGTGCCTACATAGAATCTATCCTTCGGTACGGAATTATACTTTGGGGTAATAGCACGGATAAGAATAGAGCCTTTATTGCACAAAATAAGTGCATTAGGGCAATATGTGGAATCCCGCCACACCAATCGTGTAGACCATTATTTGAAAGTCTTGGATTCTTGCCGCTGCCATCGCTGTACATATATGAATTTGCAGTGTTTGTCCACGGGCACAAGCAGTTGTTCAAGAGGGTCAATAATTTCCGGCTTAGAGACCCTTACATAATGATATTTAATGAGGTCTAAAGTCTGACAAATATAGGAAAAGTTGCTTATGCCTTTGTGTCGAGATCTAC